CCTCAGCCCTCTGGGTGGCTGAAGGAGAATCTTAAGTTTTGGATTTAGCCTGGATAACCTTAGTGACTTAGTGAGAACCTGTCTCAAAAAAAAAGTCTAGGGTTATAGCTCAGTTCAAAGTTCCTGGGTTCAATCCTCAGTACCACAAAATTAAAAAAAAAAAAAATTAACTTGGAAAAGAAAATGACTCCTTTTACCAAAATAAGATGGAGAAACTTCATTACTAATAAATTGAAAATGTAAACTGAGAAGAGTAAATTACTTATTAATACTTGTTTCCCAGAATCAGAAGTATTATTTACTGAATGACTACTATATGCCAAGGATCAACTATTTACATGGATTTTCTCTCTCAAAACAGTGCAAGGCAAATTATCAACACCTGACAAAGGGAAAAGGCACTAAAACTCCTAGGATTCAGAAGCCAGTATATTTGACTCAAATATTAGATTGAGAAGCCTGGCAGATACTACCTTGATTAAGTGATAAAGATGACCATGACTGGGGCCAGGGTTTTAGCTCAGCATCATAAGCACTTGCTTTGCAAGCATTGGGTCATGAGTTCGATCCCTGGTGCAAAAACAAACAAACAAACAAAAAAAAAAACTAACAACAAAGCAAAAAAGATGACCATGACTCATAATAAGACATGCCAGCATCATCATTTTCACTCCTTCACACAGCAAGACTGTGAAGGACACACAGTCTCTCTGTATTCTTCTCAATAGTGCAAATCACAACAGTCAAATCACAACAAAAGACAGACAAGTTGAGGAATATCAGAAAAGTTTTTGATCAGTACTATTCAAATTCTCAAGATTAGGAAATACAAGGAAAGACTGAGGAACTGTCACAAGTTGGAGAAGACTGCAGAGACTTGTAAAAATGTAGTGTGGAATCTTAGATTACATTGTGGACAGAAAAAAAAAGGACATTAATCAAAAACCAATGAAGTCTGGACACAGCAGCTCACACTATCATCCCAGCATTTAGGAGGCTGAGGCGTGAGGATTACTGTGAATTCAAGACTAACCTGGGCTACACAGTGAATTCAAGACCCATCTGAATTACAGTGAGATCCTGTCTCAAAAAAACAAAACAAAACAAACATACACCTAATGAATTTAGGAATACTAAGTCTGAAGATTTATTACCAAACAAAGTTTGGTACAGAAGTTACTTTTTTCATGTACTGTGTGACCTAAAAACTTTAAGCAACAACAACATTGCACTGCAGTGCTTCTACAGGAGCAACACATTTGTCTATTTGATCCAGGATTATAGTTTATTCAAGACTAATTTACAAAGCTTGAAAGCCTAGGTTCAGGTTCTGACTTGTTGCTAGCAACAGCAAACATGGTCTGAGCACTGGCTGAGTTCCTGGCATCTCCGGCCATTCATCCTGATTAGGGCTAGTGCCTCACACTTGATCTGTGACTCCTGCCTTGACTGTAACACACAAATCTAATCTCTCAGCTCAGTGTCTACAATAATATGCTCAGTGAGAGAAAATTTAAGTGAGGATATGTGAGTAAATACGAAGGTTTTGAAACAGATGAGTCAGCAAAGGAATCTTAGAACATACACTGCATGTTAACAGTCATTATCTTCTCACATTTGCAAATACATCTGCAGAAAATATAAACAATACTGAGGTAATTTTTCTTTTAAAAAGAACTGAGTTTTTTAAGAAGTAGATTATTATTCTAATTTATTCCAGCAAAATAAATGGAACTACTTGATGCATTATTTACTCAACGATCATTACTAGTAAAGGATGACTGAATTAGGTATAGTACTTAGCAAATATTTACTCAGTTACTGTTATGACAAGGGTTCCTTTCTTTTTCCCCCTCTTTTTCAGACAGGGTCTTGCTATGCAGTTCAGGCTGACCTGGGCCCACTTTGTAGCCCAAGTCGCAGGATCCTCCTGCTTCAGCCTCCAGAATGCTGGGATTATACATGTGTGCCACCATGCCCAACTAAGGATTCTTAGAAGATGGCAGAACTCAACTTATTTTCAAATCATTTTATAGTCAATTCTAACACTGAGAGATATTTACCTATGTCCTTTATATTAAGATCACCATGGTCTAATAGATATATGCAATCCATATGTGAGTTTAAATTTTCTAATGACCACATATAATTTTAAATTTTCTAGTGATCACTTTAAATTTTCTACTTACTTTTCAAAAGTAAAAAAGAAAAAAAAGTAAAATGAATTTTAATAGCCAGGGATATAGCTCAGCAGCACAGCCCCTGCCTGGCAAGTATGAGGTTATGAGTACAATTCCCAGTAATCAAAACAAAAGAAGTTTAATATTACATTTGATTTAACCCACTCTATGCAGAAGTTATAATTTGGGAGGGTATCAGGAATCGAACTCAGGATCTTGCACTTGCTAGGCAGGCGTTTATTCCACTGAGGTATATCCCCAGCAAAAGTTGTAATATTAAAATGTAATCAACTTTTAAAAACTGTTAGCTGGGCATGGTGGCACACACCTGTAATCCCAGTAATGGAGAAGCTGAGGCAGGAGAATTGCAATGATGCCAGCCTGGGCGACACAGCAAAACTCTGACAGAAACAAACAAAAACCAATTTAAGTACGGTCTTTTGTAGAGCTGGGGATGTAGTTCAGTATCAGAACTCTTGCTTAGCATACGCCCCAGGCCTTGCATGCCAATCCCCATTATTGGGGTGACACACAACTTTTTTCCACAATGAATCTTCAAAATTTACTCCACCCTTAACAGTGTTTCATTCTGTCACATTTCATATGTTTAGCAGTCTACTGAACAGTGTAAGATTAAGTTGTATCTTATTAAAGAATATAAATTCTAAATTGAAGAGGGTTTAATTTTAATCCTCCTTTACTAATAAAATTCAATGACCTGATCTACTTGGAAATCAATATATTCTCCTTTCTTTTTAACTCTAAACAAATCTCAGAGAATACAGTATAGTTGCTATGAGAAGTAAAAAGTAAGTGATAAACTGAAAACTTCTTTGAATTACAAATTTTGAGTGTTTTTAGTTAAAATGAGCATATACTTTACAGCTCTCATAAACATCAAATACATTTTTAAAAAACCAACAGAGAAACATGATCATATATTATCAATAACTTTTAAGCCCTATAATGAGACCAGAGCATAATTGAAATATCTTTGACTCTTTTTAATTTTTCAACAGATTAAGACAAAGCAACACATAACAAAGCAGATCAGAACAATGTAAGCAACACAGTAGTTCACCAGAAGACAACCCGTAATTAACAGTAACTACCACAATGTCTCTTTCTTTGAAATAGTTGAGTATAACTTCATATACAATAGCATCAAACATAACAAAATAGTATAAAAACATTCAAGAGAATGAGAGTATTACAGAGCATTCAGAACCAAATAACAGAAAACAAACAATGGCTACTACATTATCTCATTTTCCATAGAAAATTTGTTTATACTTTCACACCTAATACAATCCAATAAGGTACAACATGATAGAGCCAATGGTAACAGAGGAGCAAAAGCATGGTAGGACTTCAGAGTAAGATGATATTATATCAGTACTGGCTATTATAATGACTTGTTTCCCTCAAATTAGCTGCTCATACCATCACAGTTAATAAAATCAAACAAACAAGGACAAACCCATCACAACTAACTAATGTGATCATTATAAGGCTTCAAAACAATGCAATGGGGAATCATGATTACCATAAACTCTTATGTACTCTTACTATTCCTTACACTAGGGAGACTATACGGTATTTATACATGTGAGTTTGATTTATTTCACTTATGAGTATGGTCTCAAGTTGTGCCATTTATTAGTAAATATCTCAATGTAATCATTCTTTATAGTTGAGTAGTACTCCATTGTATAAAAATACCACAACTTATATTTAAAATACTGAAATCCAGTTAAGAGTTAATACAGAGGAAGGAATTTTAAAAGCTCCATGTTGCTGATTTATTTTCCCAACATTGATCTTCCTTATAAAGTGTAAATGTAGCTTTTCAGATTCATTCTTTAAATAGTTGATCCCTGTAACTAGTATTATGTTTGGAATATTGACAATTCAAAATACTTTGGTATATTTTACCTTCAATCTAACTCCAAAGAGTTATATAAGGCCAACATTATTTATAAAGAATAAAAAACTCTTTTTCTAGTTAGGTCCTCTCGATTTTAAACGCATAATTTTCATTGAATCCTTTCTTGCACAGTGCCTGGTGCATGTTATTTTTGTGAATGAGTATTTACTTAGCAAACGACAAAACACAGGCACTTAATATCAACAGCACTGCAAAATTAAATGTTAAATTAGTGGACTTTTTAATTAAAAGGTTTTACTAGACTTCATTTAAGAAATTAAGTTGGATTACAGTTAGAAAAACACTACCCACCACTTATCCTCCTTGAATTCAAAACTTGTGAGATTCAGATATTATCACCTTCATATAAAGTGGGGCCAAAAAGGATTGATTGAGTCATTTAATTATTAAGTAGCAGAGCCAGATTTCAAGCCCAAATCCCCAAGCAAAATAGCGTTAGTGCGTGTATGTGAGTAAGAAAGAGAGACAGACAGGGAGGGAGAGGGACAAGGGGCGAACGAACATTAGAGAGAAAAGGGGAAGGGAGCGGGGAAAGGATGTGTACCGATTATAGAAAGCATATCCCACGCTTCTATCTTCAAAAAAATATCCATTATAAAACTTTCAAAAGAAAAATACATTACGGATAGTTTCCGATCATACAAAACAACTTTTTAAGAAACTCAAACTCATTTAAATTACATCCTAGGCAACAACTGCTAAGCATAACTTAGAGGCAGACAGGGGACACAGAAACACACACAGACACACCCCGCTCTCCCTCCGGGATGCTTCCTCGCGGCCTGGCAGAGTCCTCCGGGCTTCGCGAGGGGAGGCGGCGCCCGACCCGGCGCCAAAAAGCAGCTGGCGCTCCCTCTCTGGATAGCACCTACCTGACAGGCTCCCGCCAGCGTTTGAACCAGCTGCAGCAATTGGCCATCAGGCCAAACATCCCAGGTCGCTCTTCTTGCCACCGCCCATCCGAGCCAGCAGCAGGGACAGGCCCCCAGCTTGCCCAGGCCGATCCTGTAGCCCCGACCTCTCGGACAAGACTAAGCGGTGGGTAGGCCCGGAGGAAAAGCTGGCGGCAGGGAAGGCGACCCGTCTGAGCACCACGCGCCGCCGCGTCCGCCTGTGAGAAGAGAACAACTATCCTTCTCCCCAAGGGACGGCGAAACCCCCAGCGCCCATTCACCCAACCCTGGTTAGCTGGTCCCGGCCACAGAAAAACCCCCGCATCGACGTGCTGACGTTCTCTGAGGCGCGGAAGACCTTCCCCCCCAAGCACCGCCCACATAGTAGTTCTCCAATCATTGATTGCAGACCTGGTTGGGGCCCCCTGAGTGGCTAAATGGGCCTAGCCCTCCGCCCACTCCGAGAGGTAGAAAGGGAAAGTAGGCGGGCTTTAGAAAAAGAAGGCGGAGCTCCACGTAGATGGCTCTCGTAACTAGGCAACGGGAGCGTCCAGAGATAAGCCGAGGCTCCCAGATAAATCTGAGTTAAGGCTTAATCTTGTATATCCATCCAAAATGTGTTACTTGCCAAGGTTCTGGTTTTGTTGTATCTCCAAGTAAGGTCCTAAGATCTCGGAATTTGTACGTAGGTTTGTTTTGTTTGTGCAAGCAGGAATGGGAATCCTGTATGATTCTAGCAGACTCGGGACATAGAAGTACAGAGGAAAAAAAAACACTCTGAGACGGTTATTACTAAGTAATCACAAATCGCCTTTTGTTACATAAATAGACATGTAATTATATTTGCTGGAGGAGAGGATCATAATTACAAAAGAAAGAAATACATGTTTAGAAGCACTGAAAGGAACAAAATGAAGGCAATACTTTATACCCATTACTAAAAGATAAACTCATTCTTTCCCAGATTTTTTAGATGTGTAGTTCGGTGGCTATTTGACTTCTGCAAATTAGAAAATGTTACCTACTAGCTATTTTGTAATATTTTATTTTTTAAAGAGTTATGTGATTGCTGGATTTCCGGTATGTTCTTTTTTTAAAAATGCACTTCCCTCAAAAAATGTAGGAATGTGTTTGTGTCCATTCAGTTTTCACTTACATGTATAGTTTTAAATTCTGATAAAAGAAAGAGATCACTGAAAATCCCAGTAAATTCAAGGGAAAATTGTGTTTTAGGACAAATATTGATCTATAAATTATTGTTCTTTAGTAGCACATTAGAACTTATTTTCTGCTCCTCTGAAACTCATCAGTGAGACTAGAAATGAAAATATCTACTTTGCAGTTACTAAAATGATGAAAAGAGGGAAATACAATTTGAATATACTTTCTCAAAAATAATAGCAGTTTGGAAATTGGTATCATCTATCTCACAAACATAGCATGTCATATATCCTTGTAGCTCTTATTCTCCATGGTGGGAGGATAGTAGGGGAGGGTAAGGTCAAAATTCTTCAGTAGCTAAGAGTTATTGTTTCTGCTGACTATTTTTACCACATTGTTTGTAAAGCTAGCGGGTCCCAAATTTAAAATCTCTATTACTGATGTTCACAATTGTAGTTATTTACTATGATCTGGCTTCAGCTCTATCAAACTACTCAAAAACATGCTTTTTAGATATAACTTCTGTCTTACTAATCACCCTCTTGGTTCTCCTTTCCTTTGCAGCTTTTATACATTTAATGCAGTTAAATGTATAAACTCTTGACATTTGCCTAAAACTCTTGCCTTGACCTGTCACAATTTTATGATGTTGCTATTCTCTTCTTTTATCTCCCTGACCATTCTTCCTCTGGCTTTCTATATGTGTTCTCTATGATCTGGCCATATCTCTCTGCTTTCTTTATTTAAGAGAAGTAGTAGAAGGAGAAGGGAAAGGAGAAGGAGAAGACTAAGAGGCAGGGAAAAGAGGAGGAGGGGAGGAGAGAGGGGGGGTGAAGGAAAAAGTTCTCTTGAGATTACAACTAGTACTTCCGTGCCTAAAGTGTCTTACTATGTGAAGATTTTTTGAGCATTTCTGAAACCATACTCAACACTATTTTTTTGGGAAAACATACTCACTTTATAGGCTCTCTGAAAAGTTGTCCATCAGTTTTAGTTCTCTTTTCTCTGTAGGTGCATGAAATAGTTATTCTCACACTCTGGAATTGAGCATGCCATGTGACTTGCCTTGTCCCATGAAATGTAAATAGCATGTCCCCTTTTGATGAATGTGTTTATGAGCTGGTACACAATTCTCCATGTTTTCTCCTCCCTTGCAATAGTGCAGACTCTGTTGATATTGAGGAACTATAAAATCAAAGCAGCATGAAATGTTGAGCGAACACATGGAAAACACCTTCTTAGAAGTTATGCAGACATAAAAATGATTATAGAAGGCCCTTTTTCAATCTGACAAAGCCATTTGTGATAAACCTATTTATGACAAATCTATTGCCAACATCATATCAAATTAGGAATATGTCAAGAATGTTCACCATCACCACTCTGCTCAACATAGCCCTTAAAATATTAACCAGAGCAATGAGCCTAGTGACAGAAATAAAAGTGATACATATAGAAAAGAAAGAATTCAATTTATTATTATTTATAGGTGACATGATCCTCTACTTACAAGACCCCAAAAAAGTCCAATAAAAAGACTTTTAAAACTGGTAACCAAATTCAATGATATAGCAGTATATAAAATAAATGCACAAAACTCTATAATGTTCCTGTAAACTATTAAGGAACTTACTGGGAAAGAAATTAGAAAAACATTCACAGTAGTATCAAGAAAAATTGAAAATTTAAGAATTATCCAAACTAAGAATATGGAGGACTTCTACAACAAAAATTATACCACCCTGAAAAAGGAGATAAAAGCAGATGTCAGAAAATGAAAAGATATCTGTCATAGGTAGGGGTTGTGAGGAAAACAATTAGAATCGAGACACAGAATTTATAATATTTTATGATGGTCACCCAGGGTTAAACACAGAAAGTGCAGGAAATCTGTCCACAACAGATTCAGAATATTCAGCCAAGGGCCTGGATACTACAGCAATGTCTTCATGAGTCCAGATGAAAACCTAGAGCCCATGACAATGCCTTCCACAAGTTCAACTGGAGGTCTAGAGCCCACAAGAAGGACTCACATCAGTCTGCTTTATGGACCCGTGCTGGGAAGACCCAAAGGTCAGCAGTGAAAGCTAGAAAGTCTATGCCAGGAGGGTGAAGGAGCTGTGCTGGTAGGTTGAGGGTTCTACACTGGAGCCAAGAAGTCACACTCAAGAACCAGGGCTTCCCTAAAAAGTACCACAGCCATCCTCAGGGAGATGGAGGTCCCAAGCTCCTCCAATGATAACAGTTGAGTACATGCCAGAAAGCCAGCGTGATGAGTTTCTCCTGGAGATTAAATGGCACACGTCCTCTTCTCTGGAGCCAGGAAGCAATGCTGGATGTAAGGACCCAAAGTGAATCACAGCCACTCTCACCAACAAGGTCCCAAGTCCTCTGATGACAATGGTGGAACTCATGCTGGGGAAGCTAGTCATGACAAGCTCCTCCAGGAGAACCAATGGCTCAAAACAACACTTAGAGAAACCCATAATGTCTCACTCGTCTTCTCTGGGTCTCTATGCTGACAACTTTCCTCAGGTGGAACATCTATGATCAGCACTATGCTGATTTAATCCAGCTGGTGTTAAAATGACCACCAGTTTTTAATCCATAACGATATCCCATATCCCTGGACAGCCAGAGCCAGTATAGTCAATATACTTTCAAAACTGATATATAGACTGAAGGCAATCCAATTCAAAATACCACTAACATTCCCCATAGAGCTACATAAAACAATCCAAAAATTCGTGTGGGACAAGACAAGACCCAGAACAGGAAAAGCAATTCTGGGCAACAACAGCAAAGAAGAAAGTGTCATAATCCCAGAATTGCAGTTATTACAAGAGCATTGTGGGACCAGAGATATAGCTCAGTAGCACAGGGCCTGCCGGGAAAGCTCAAGGTTGTGAGTTTGATATCCATTTCAAAAATAAAACAAAACAAAACACATAAAAAGTTACAGGGATTAAAAACATCATGGTACTGGCCCCAAAACAGAGATGTAGATCAATGGAACAGAGTAGAGGAAGCAGAAACAAGTTGAGACATACTCAGCTATTTTATCTTTTGAAAAATTAAGCTGGGAGAAATGGATATCTACACACAAAAAATCGATTGAGTCTAGAGCCATATATCTCAATATATACTAAACAAAATTCAAAATGGATCAAAGATCTAAATGTTAAAACAGAAAAAAATCTGCTGGAAGATAAAATAGGCACAACTCTTGAAAATATTCTGTTCTATCAGAACAGAATTTCAATGACATAAATAATACCAAGAATGAACACATGGGATCATATTAAAAAGCTTCTGCACAGAAACAAACAAACAAAAACCCCAATAGAATAAAGAGACAACCTACAGAATGGGAAAATATTTTTGTGAGCTCTTCCCCAAAGGACTAAAACCTAGCATATATAAAGAACTCAAAAAAAATTAAGAATATGGTTGTGAACAACGTATTAAAAAAAATTGCTGCCTTCCTGACTCTTATATCCTACTGGTGGGGAAGGATGATGAGGAAGATAGAAAACACAAAAGTAAGTATATTAGGGGACTTACTAGACAATGGTACGGAAAAATGTAAATTCAGGTAAGGGTATAGGATTAAAAATGGGATTAGAATAAGAATTAAACTAAGATAGATTTTGTTGTATATTTAGAAATATGCTCAGAACAAATTGTGGCTGAAAGATATTGCCTGAATATTGATAAACGATGAGCTAAATCAAAAATTATCATCATAGAGGGGGCTGGGGATTTAGCTCAGCGGCATAAGCGCCTGCCTTGCAAGCAGGCAGTCGTGAGTTCGATCCCTGGTACCGATAAAAAATGAAAAAGACAAAAAAAAAAAAAATTATCATCATAGAGTAAAATCCTGAGATAAATTAAAAGCCAGCAATTTGCATAAGCATTTCAGATCTTTTTTTTCAGATTTTGACTTTATTGTATAGGATTCACTGTTTCTTCAGTGGCACTCATTGCTATAATATACCACTGTGAGACTAAAAAGATAACTTTATTCACTGGAAGTCTTTTGAAGAGCACGGTTTCTTCCTTTCTCTTCTTTTAAGTACTTTATTAACATGCCTTTCTTTTCTTCATACTGTATATTTTTAATGTGTGTTAGAGATTTTTAAATGAATGTTACTGCTCTATTATTTTGGAAGTTTTCCTATTTTAAGAATTTTTGAGGTTTAAAAATTGATATTCTCCTCAAAACCTGAGGACATTCCTAAGTGGTGCTTTTATTTGAAGGCTTATGACTTATATATTTTAAGTATTTATCAATTAAATATAGTATGTAAAGTAATCCAAAGAATTCTACAGAGACTGGAATTACATTTATATTTAAATCACTTAGGCTTGAGATTAAAATGGTAAACCCACTGACTCAGAGATACTAAAAGAAGAAAGAATTTAAAAGAGGAAAGCATAGGCTGGGTGAGATGGCACAAGCTTGCAATCCCAGCACTCAAAAGGCTGAGGCAGTAGGATTGATGAGAGTTCTGGACCAGCTTGGACTACAAAGTGAGTTCACAGCCAGTCTGAACAGCATAGGGAAACTGTCTCAAAAAAGAACAACAAAAAGAAAAAGAAAAGAAAAGGGAGTCATAGATATATTTAGTGTTTTTTTTCCCAATTGACAAGGTTCAGAAAGTGCCATTCTAAAATATTTTACTTTGATAAATAGATATTATAAGATAAAAGCAATCAAGAACCAGCAGAACCAGAGAACTCAACTAACTAAAGGAGAAATTTCCTCTTTTGGAAAAGAAATTGTGTGAGGTAACTATTCTTATACAAAATACCTGAGAAAATCAACTTGAAAGGAGAAATTTATGCTGATTTCAGAGGTTCCCTGGTTCCCTGTCTCAGTTGTTTTGGGCAGATGGTGGCCCTGAGCATCATGGTAATAGTGAGACTTCTGGGCTAGAGAAAACTGCTTACCTCCCAGCAGCTGGGAAGCACAGAAAAAGGATGGAAATGGTTAGGGCTCCCAAAGTCCTTTTTAAGGGTAAGCCAATAACCTGCCCTAGGCCCTTCCTCTTCAAGTTTTCATGGCCAGTAGCATCACAGGCAGGTGACTAAGCTTTTAATACAGAATTATTAGAGGGCAGTCTAGATCCAAACTATAACAGAAAGTTACATTTATAAAGGGAATTTCACTGCTAATTAGGGCTACTCCTAAAGACAGTTTTTATTTCCTTACTCTTAGTAGCATAACAAGGCAATCCTTCCAGACCAGGTACTTCTTTCTTTTCCCTTCCCCACTGCCAAGAAACCTCAAACATCTCTGCCTTCCACAGCTCAGAATGATATATATCTCAAGCCCTAAGCCACCTCCTCAGTCTTAGATTTTTGTTAAATTCCCCTGTACGTAGGTGACTATGCCTTGATTTCTTCTGTTACTCTATCTCCTGTCAATTTAGTTCTTAGTGCAGGTGATATAGGGGAAATAAATGCAACTCCTCTCAACCTGCTCAATAGCAGATACTCTTGAGTTCCTATTCCCCAAAGCTGAAGAATGCATTCTAAGGAGCAATGGAGCTTAAGAGCAGTAAAAAAACTATTGAGAGGGAAAGAGGAGCGAGATAGAGATAAGAGTTAGAGAGCAAGAGAGAGAGAGCTCCTGGGACAGGAGAGGACCTGAAAACTGGGTTGCTGGGGAACTCATTTTATAGAGGACTTTCAGGAGGTGGGTACAGTGTGGGATAAGACTACAATCAACCAATAAGATTACAAGGTTAGCCACTTAAGTAACAGTGATCCAATGGGGCAAAAGGGCATGTAGCAAGTGTACCTGGAAAGAACAAGGACTTTTTAGGAAGAGATGAATTGGGGGTCTTGGTCACTCACTAGGGTGACATGTGAATATATTCTTTACCTCTCAGGGAGGCATATAGGCCTGGTCATTTTATCTTTGAGGCTTGGTCTCCAACAGATGTGCCTTCAGCCACAGTTGAAATGTGTTTTTATCTTCTCTGTTGACTCCTCAGAGGGTCTAGTCCTGTCTCACTGCCTGTAATATTTTTACCTAACTTGGTTGTTTATGACATAGAACATAAAAGATTATAGTAGGAAATTTTCTGTCCCTACTGACTGACAATTCTCCAGCCCATACTCTTATCAGAAGTGACTAGCATAGCTGGGTGTGGTCGTGCATGACTGTAATCCCAGCACTCAGGAGGCTGAGGCAGGAGCATCACTGCAAATTTCAGGCTGCTTTGGGCTACAAAACGAGTTGAAGGCCATCCTGAACCCTGTAGTAGAACCTTGCCTAAAAAAAAAAAAAGAAAAAAGAAAGAAAGAACGGAAAGTGACTAATATTAATGAACATCCAGCCAGCTGGATCACAAAACAAAATCTCGAGCAGAAGACATACTTAAAGTATTATTTTTCTGTTGGATTTCACTTAAACGCTTAGGAAATCTGCTGATACTTTATTTGGGCAGAAAATATTGTTTTGATGTTATCTACTGAAAGCCTTCTATTAACACTATGAAAACCTATTACTATCCCTCTTTTAAAAACAAAAAGGCAAGTAACACAATTTAAAATTACACAATAAATAGCTGAGTATATATATGATTTGAACTCACTCAATTTAGCTTCATAAGCAACTATAAACATATTTTACATGTGTATCCCTATGGACAAAAACCACTGCAAAGAATAAAAAGCTGCATCACTGTTGGAATTTGATAAGTTCTTTTTTTCAAAACTTTTTTTTTTTTTTTTTTTTTTTTTTTTTTGCTGCTATTTTACACAGCAGATACAAACAACAGCCAACCCAAAATGTGGATGGTCAAAATGATCCCAATTTTCTTCCATTATTTGCGCTCTATATAGTCTTCAAAAAGTCCTCCCTAGCTAGCTCCTAGGCGTCGGCTAACATCTTCATCGCCAACATCATGGCTCACGCTTTCTTCCTAATCCTGGAGATCCTGACCTCTGTGTGCCCAGAGTGCTCCTGGTCCCTCAAGTCCCCAACCCAGCTCGCGGCAGGGTTTTCCTGCGTTCCCCTCCGCTTTGGAAACCTAGCATTCTGGAGTGGCAGAGTTTGGGAAGGGTGAGGAAGGAGGAGCCGCCGGTTTTCTCTAGGCCTCCAACACTGTCCCTGACCCCTCCCCCAGCTCCGAAAAGCTTCCTGGAAATGTCCCCACTATCACCTCCCCTCTGGGCGGGGGTGGGCGCGGGCGGGCCCCTCCGCCGAGCGCCCTCCCGCGCTCGCCCGCACTGCGCTCCGAGAAGCCGCCGCTGGGCTCGCTGCTCCGCGCGCCCCCGCCGCCGCCGCCGCGCCGCTGCCTCCGCGCTCAGGTCCCCGAGCGAGCGCCGCGCCACGGTCCCGCCCGCCCCGCGCCCGCTTCGCGATGAGGGTTCTGGGGGGGCGCTGCGGGGCGCTGCTGGCGTGCCTAGCCCTAGTGCTTCCCGTCTCGGAGGCGAACTGTGAGTAATCCGTAGCGACGCGTCTTCTCCCTTCCCCGCCGCTGCAGACGGAGCTACGTGCTGTGGTTGGCATGATTGTATTCTCTAGGGCTGCAGCCTCCTAGAAAGTTTCCCCGAAGTCCCGACCGCCCCCAGCCGATGGAGGCAGCCGTGGATCTAGCGAGCGGTGTAATGGTGGGCAGGATCAATGTTTGCCCCGCTGTGCAGTTCATGTGTGGTTTACCGAACTGATGCAAGAACCTGGGTGACAGACATAATTATCAATGAAGGGATTAGAACACCTACTCCTTTCCCCTCGACTGCTGAAGTTCCCAATCGGAGGACTAGGATGAGCACACTACAAATCTAGAAGGGAAACGAAGTCAACCACTTTCTCCTCCCTTTGTAAAAGACCGCCCCCCTCCCTTTTGCAATATCTGAACTTTGAACTTGGTTTGCCTGTCTCACATTAACAAACGAACTGTTCTACGATGATCGAGGTTTTGCATTGCACTGAAATAAAAAAGACTTAAATATTACATTTCTCAGATCATTTGGCACTAAGGAATTTTTTTGGACACTGTGCCACTGAACTGAGGTGACATGAATTCTTTGCCCTTTATCTTTGAATTTCCAGTTCTTTGTATTTCCATATTCAGATTCAAGGAAGCACATTGAGTTTTCTCTGAAAAATATATAAAGGATATCAATGGTTTTAGTACACTTTGATTGTTAATTTGTTTTCTAATGTTTAAGAATGTTCATGATTAAAAATGCTTTCTCATGCTGTTTTATTCTTGGGAACTGACTTGGAAGCAATAATTTTGAACTAATGTTTAGGCTGCTCAGAATTCCAAAGTAAAATTTTGAAAGATGGTAATTATTAAGATTCCATTATTAAATTATTATTATAATTAAATTATTATTATTATAATTAAATTATTATTAACATTATTAAAATTCCACTAGTCTTATTAATTAGTGATCAGGATGAATGAGGTAATTTTAACTTCTAACTTAAAGACTAAATCTATTTGTTGGTCTTATACTAAAGAGTTGCAGTTGCAAAACAATCCATAATCCTATAAAATTAATACTATACCTATGTGGTTACATGGACTAACTCACTGTCTGTATAGTCTATTTGGACAACCCAATAATCCTGCTAACCCGTGTTTTGGAAGAGAGAAAGAGATAAAATCAGCTTACACATTTACTGCTTGTCGTAGCACAATTTGCTAGATCATTTTAATAGAGATTGTTACATTTGGACTGATATCTAGAAGAGGTAAATATGTGTGTGTTGTGTTATGTGTCTTACATAGTATGTGGAGAATTACCTTACTGTATACAGGAACAGATAAGAGTAAATAAATAAATTCTACAAGTCTGACATGGCCCTATAATAGACATTTAACATTTTTTGATTACCTAATTGGATTAAAAATCTCTGATATATGATGAAGAAACATGGATACAATGGCTAGAGATGGGGTGTCTTACACTACGTCCCTCTTTTACTTGCTTCCTTGCTTCTTGGCTTTAGACTTCCCTCCCTCCCTTCCTCCCTTTCTTTCTTTCCTTTGTTTCTCCTTTTTCTCTCTTTTTTGTACTGGGGATTGAACCCAAGGCTTCGCTTATGCTAGCTGGGCAAGTGCTGTGCTTCTTAGCCCTATCCCATCCCCCTAGCTCTGTAACATGTTAGATTGAAGATAAAATAGAACTCTAAATACTTTCTTTATAATCCATTGTAGAGTTCATAGGAATGTAATCGTTGTTTAAATAGAAACTTCTGTTTTACAAATCACAGGTTTATTTTTGAGTTGTCAGAAGTTAGGTAGTTCAATTTCTTCACTTTAACGAAATTCAGTTATTCCAAGATGTTAGATATTGTGTATATGTGTGTGTATAATGAGATATATTTTTCTCTTTTTGTGCTTTTTTTCTGTTATTTTGATGCATATTCTTGACTTTTCTTAAAATTTATTTCAAGACTTCAAATGTTATGCTCTGCCCTGCCCCTTTGCCATGCTACCCTCCCTTGGAGCCAGCTGACTGTGAACGGAAACCTCTACAACTTTTGAGCTAAATAAAGCTTTCTTCCTTTAACTTCCAGTGTTGGGTATTCTGTCTCATCAATGAAAAAAGTTACCAACACACATCATTTGAAATTATTTGTCTAGGACCAGGCATGGGAAGTGCAAACCTGTAATCCCAGGACCCAGGAGCCTGAGGCAGGAGGATCTCCATGAGTTCAAGGCCAGCCTGAGCTACATAAGCAAATTCAAGGCCAGTTTGCACTACATAGTGGGACTCTGTTTCAAAAATAATAAAAATTAATCAGTTAATAAAAATAAAAAAGGAAACTTTGTTTAATTTAATAAATACTGTATAGTAGAAATAACCCCCTTAATAGGTTTGACCATATTCAGAGATGAGATGAGACTGCTGTTTCCTGCTGTCACTTGATGACCATGCTTCCACTGGTTCTGTGCTACAATTAATGAATGAAATGATACATTGTACTGCATCAAAGCATCCTGTATGCATCCTACTCTAACAAAATAACAAACAAGCAAATATATACAATGGCTTTGGGGATTGCTTATCTTGCTCTTGGGACAGTGTAGACCTTGGTAGTAACTTATCACTACCCATTTCCTATCTCTTATCCTGAGAAAGCTCCTAATGTTTGTTTCTCCTTAATGAAATGAAACGCACTATTATTCAAGAAGGATTGGAGTCTTTGTTCCTACCTCTAACATAGTGCATCCATTTCTTCTTTTATGATTTCTGTTGTGTACAATACTCATCCTGGAGAGTTTCTATTATGCTAACCCTGGCTTAAATGCAATACCAATACTCTTTGCCTTGATTATTGTATTCTTTACTTAAGAAAGTGTGGTAAAGAATTTCAAATGGCTACATAACAATCTTGATTTCTAATTCAGTGGAAAATATAATTAGTTCTTATAATAAATGCTTTCCTTTTTTGGTTTTCAAATTTCTAAATGAATAGAGCCCAGAGCTGAGGAAAGAGTACAAAAATTTAAGAATAGGTCATTCATTGGCTGTTTGGAAAGTAGAACTAAATGGCTTATATACAAAAAAAATTTGCCTTATCCGTCTGAAGACTGGAAGTGCTAGGACAGGAGATAAGCATGGTTGATGCCTTCTGAGGCATATGAAAGAGAATCTGTTCTATGCCTTTTTCCTAATCTAGTAAATTGACATGTTTTTTGGCGTATCCCTTATGTTTTTGTTTTGTTTTTCCTCTTTTATGTCTGAATTTCCGTTTTGGTAAGTATACTGCTTATACTGGATTAGAGCCTATCTTTTTAAAAAAAAATTTATTCTAAAGAGAAAAATAGCACAGAAAAATAAAAAAGCTATCAAAAAAACAACAACAAAAGCCAATCAACAGCAACAGCAACAACAAAAACAAGAGTGATACAGGATTTTAAAACAGGATGATAGGAATTTAACAATGGGTGTTATATTGCATATTGTTATCTTCAAAATAGTTGTCAGGTTACCAGATACAGGCATGGAAAATAGATTAAGTGTATGATTTTCCTTTGAACACTTTCTTTCTCTTTCACTATATCTGTTGTAACTTTTGGATCTTACTTACTTTCAGTTTCTTACATCAACAAGGCAAAACAGTCTCATTTATTTCACTTATGAGTATGGTCTCTAGTTGCATCCATTTACATGCAAAAGCCTTTAGTTTATTCTTTATAGCTGAGTAGTACTCCATTGTACAAAAATACCACATCTTTTTATCCACTCCACAGTTGATGGGCTTTTGCGTTGTTTCCGAGTTCTGCCTATTACAAATTGTGCAGCTACAAACACAGGTCCACATGTGTGGTATGATGTTTTCAGTTCTTCTGGGAAAATATCCAGGAGGGGAATAGCTAGATTGAATGGAACATGTAGTCCTAATTTTTTGAGAAATCTCCACACTGATTTCTATATGGTCAGTCCATACTCCTACCAACTATGTAGAAGGTTTCCTTTTTCCCCACAGCTTTCCAGCATTTTTTATATATTGATTTCTTGATGTTAGCCATTTTTCCTTGAGTGAGATGACATCTCAGTATTGTTTTAATTTGCATTTGTCAATTGACCAAAGATGCTGAACATTTTTTCATGCATTTATTTGCCATTGAATTTTATCATCTGAGAATTGTATACTCATTTCAGATGCCCATTTTTGGATTGGGCCTGAGTTTCTTCAGTTCTTTATATGTTCTAGATAGAAGTCCTTTGTCAGAGTGACAGTTGACAAAAATCTTTGGGTTTTCATTTTACTCTCTTGGTGATTTCTTTGAATGTGCAAAATCTTTTTTTAAAATTTTATTTAAGGAGGAAAAAAAAAGCAGAGAAAGGGTACAAGTTATACAGATTTACAGAAAAAAATAAACAGTAGAAAATCACTAGTTAATGGATTACACATTGTCATCTTAGAAATAATTGTTCAAGTCACAAAATTAAAGCTTGTAAAGTGGACATTCCAACAGTGAGACTGCAAACAGTTCTGTTCAATGATCCAACAAAACTCAGTGATATCATTATCTGTCTTATACACTTATATATACATGCACTTTCTTTTCCTCTCTTTTGTACAATGACAATTACCCATTTTGGGTTTTGTTGCTCCCATAGTTCTTACTACTTTTTTGGAAGGGAGTAGAACCAAATGTGACATAATAGAACAGAGTCAATCAAATCAAAAGGGTGGACATAATAGATAATGTAAAAGCATAATACAAAGTGATCAACAATGGTTACCATAATGCCTCCCGCTATCTCTAATAGAATTACCTATATCATCAGTTATAATAAAATTGAACAAAACAGTAAAGAACAAAACTGACAAAACCAAAACATTGGAGACATTATAGGTCTTCAAAAGTAGGTAATAGTCAACGAGAATGGGCATCATATTGAATCCCACTATCTTCACAGCTGTTGCTTAAACTTTCGAACCTGGTACTATCAAGCAAAACAGAATA